CAGCTCTAAACCATTCTTAAATTTCCTTTATCAAAGGGTCAGTGTGTCTTATGGTGGTCTAAATGCTGGTTTTACTATACTAATTCTGGGAATATTCTGTCAGAATTATACATAAAATATGGTACCAAATTACTTTGGGTAATGATTAAAAAAATGATAAGCGATATCATTTCATATTGATACATCACAATAAATGTCATATCGTTATTTCTTTCAAGTTTACTGGCTGATTTTTGCTCCTGAGTGAAAGTTGAAGAAACTAGATGGTTAAATGTGGTTTTAAACTTTCCTTTATGGTCAGAACATGATGCTAAACAGTCGATCAGTTCACAAATCTGAGCAAGAACTTTCAAAACAATTATGATTAAATATGAGTAAAATATGTAAAATTACGTGCTAATTTTGTTCCTGATTCAAATGAATTAAATCAATCAGTTACAAGCAACAAAAATTGTATTTCCTTTGTAAGGTGTCAGGGCTGCTCTGAGTTTGTTCTGAGTTCTGAATTGCTGCTTCTTCACATGGAAAGATGCCAGTTAAGGTGGTTCAGACATCTGAATAGGAATTTCCTGTGGAGGTATTCGAGGCACATCCAACTAAGAGGCTATGTAATGCGGAGGCATTCCCCAGGAGCAGGAGAACGTATCCGCTACCTTGCTTAGCCAGCTATTACTGAAGAAGAAGAAAAAACATCAGAGAATGGATGGATGGACAATTGGTGCAAAATATCTCTCTGCAGCTATATTCCAAAATTAATCCATGAATGTCTGTATTTAAAATCAAAAACCATACTCATCAACCCATGTTTAACCAACTGCATGTCTGCTCCATCAATTACAAAGTTAGTTCCGAGCCTGAGGCTTCCCTGATTACTCACTACAGGCAGCCCGATCCTCACAGCGAGGAGTCCAGTGAGGTTGACTGGCCTTTCAGCACATCATTTAGACTGAGCAATATAGCTTTGGGAAGAACCCTGCCATGCCAGAAAAACTGTGATATACATAATTCCAAGTGGCATTTTGACCAGTTTTTGGCAGACAGTGGGCTGTTTTTGTTAGTATGGTTTTTACTCATTTTGAGGATTGAGACAATGTGATGCCATGTCAGGCACTCTGATACGACCTGCACTTTAACTAACATTAGGGCTAGTTCCAGCTAACATTCTTAACTTTGTCTAATAACTGCACATTTCAAGCATTGCTGGTAATTTCCTTACTGTGGTTGCATGCTGGGATGATTTCCTTTCCTGCCTTCCCTCCCTCTCTCCCCATCCCATTTGCTTACTAACCACTTTGGTCAGTAATTCTTTTGTGTAATGATTAGGTGTGTCGCGAGATTAAATTGTGACAAGATATCTCGTCAGGTAAAAAGCTGTCTCTCGAGACTCACAAAATTGACATTTTTCACATGCTGTCAGTCAAGCCATACATTAATTTTCTCACACGGTGAAATACATATGTATAACTGATAAGATCTAGCAGAGCTAATCAACTCTAGCCAGCTGATGCCACACCAGCGTAAGCCCTGATGGTAATCAACCACACCGCTGGCACTGTGAGTCCAGACAGCTGTGACGAGTGGTAACGTAGCTGGTGGAGTTTTGCAACATAAAAATCTACTGAAGCGCAGCCTTGCTGTGTTAGGGATTGTGAGCTGCACTTTATCAGAGCTGCTGAAGATACCGTGTGTGGATTTGTGGTGAGATTTCTACCTGATCACAAGTTTTTCAGTTACTTTGGGTTTCACATGCAACATGCAGTCCCAAACTGCATCTTTCAAACGGTCTGAAGAGGATAACGTTATTTCCAGCGGATTAATAACGTAACGCACAGAAGAGTATAGGGCAGGTAGACTTCTCATCAAATGATGATGTTTTTCTCTATATATATTATGACTTTTTCTGGATATGTCTGAGAACACAGATGTGAGAGATTGTGAATGTGCAGAAAGTTTTGAACATAAGCAGAAAACCTGCTGAAACACAGTAGCTATTAAAGCCCAGGGGTTTCTAGATGAAAAAAAAAAAATCATTATTGAGGTGAAAAGGTGCCACATTTAAATAGGTTACTTCCCTAAACAAAGACACAGAGAGGAGAGAAGACTAAATCATGACACAGGAGGGATGATATTACAGGAGAAAAGTTCATTTACAGGAGAAACAGATCTGAAAGCAGCACAGAATGACTGAGAGCTGCACTGCATTATCTTCTGTTGTAGTTAGGCTATAGATTTTGAATTGTCACCTGCCACCTGAATTATGTGTTTCTCTTTACACAAATAAAAGAAAATCACATACACTGGTGCAGAAAATGTCATCAGAATGCAGGAAATAGTGTTTAATGCTCAAAATTTTAATTTAATTCATTAAAGATGAAAGAATTCTTAAAAATAGTGTTAAGATCTCGTCTTTTCTCGATCTCGTGAACCCAATCTTGAATCTCGTCTTGTGGGTGAAGTGTCTCGCCACACCCCTAGTAATGATCAATGATGTACAATAGGGATGCAGCGATTACCAGATTTCACTATTAACCGCGCTTTAAAACGTCACGGTTAATTAATCGTAAAGGCTCCGCAACACCGAGTGTTTCTGTTGCACGGAACAAAACTGCGGCAAATGCATAAAACAAAAACAAAGTTACAGGAGCGGTGCACCAGCTTAAGTGTCGTGCTGATCAGATCATATTAATTAATAGGCCTACTTGCATGCATTGAAATTTATTCTCATAAATAAGGTGAACAGGAGGACAAATTATATTTAAATTGATGCCGTTTTCAATGCATCAATCGAGCAAATATGAGAGCATAGTTTCATGTATTGTTATCACATGTTCGTTTCCTTATCGAGCCAAACACTGCTTAATGGCTTGGTTTGTTGCTTGCGCGCATGCCGCTGTCAAAGTAGTTGAAATTTAGCGCTGAGCAGCTTCCACGCAGTGCAAATCACTTCTTTTCTGAAAGGGCCTTTATGAAAGACAGAACGTAGTCCTCTCAAGACCTTCAGTTACTGAACATTTAACGTTGCATCATGTTGTCTTCTCCTGTCTGTGTTGAGAAAATGTTGCCAGGTGTAAAACACTAACATACATCAGGAGCTTATAGACTTTCAGGACTATAGGCTACCAATTAATTGGATGAGAGTTGATGACAGTAACAGTACAGTTTATTCCCCTCCTTTATAACATTTTCCCCTGGTGGATAAAAGCTAATATTCCTCTTATATTAATAATATATATTATAGAAATATAATTGTTAATGTAATTAAATACTAAAAATCAACTTAAGTCATTACTAGTGTTGTTAAATTAATTAATGCATAATAATCGTAATAATCGTGAAACCGTGATTATTTCTCTGACAAATCGTACCAACAAAATCTGTAATCGTTGCATTCCTAATGTACAATTAGACACACTTTAGACCCTGATCAAATCAATTTATCAGCGTTTCAAGGAATTCCATCTCATAACTGCCTAATAAAACTTTATATATTTTGGGGGGCAAATAACAGATCAAAGCATCTTTTGTCTCCAAAAAATGTGTGCATGTCTTACAAACCTAAAGCAGTTTCACTAAAGCATTCCTCATTCTGCTAGGACAAACCCGAAAACCTCCTCATGAGCCCTGGGAACACTCAATCTTTAATGTAGAGTAGGCCTCCAACTAACAATTATTTTCCTTACCGATTAATATGATGATTTTTTTCAGAGAGCTGGAACCAGCAAATGTTTCACATTTTTGCTTGAAAAATGACTGAAACAATTAATCGATTATGGGACTAACCATAGCAGCGCTAATGTAGAGTTGAGTGCAACTGTGCAGGTGTTAATTAGCACTGAAATGTGTCAGTTTCTATTCAGCTCCCTGTAGAAAGTGAATGGACGTCGTGACATCAACACTGTCCATCATTATCACATCACCTCCCACTGGAACACAAATTCACACTCATCCTTCAACACACTGTCCCAACCTTACGCACCCTTTCACACACGGACACATGGTGGAGCAAGCGCAGAGTCCCACATCAACTCAGCAGACTCATTGAAACTGCCTACCACAGACCACCATGTAACCAGGTTTTGCCAGAGGCAGCAACAACCTGGAAGCTTTTTAAGTCAGTGTATAACAAGGATGGAAGATAATAGCGATAATAGATCATAAATTGAGTCCTAACCCCTTATTTTCTTAACAGGTGCTAAGCCCAATCAGTCCAGTAAGAAGGTAGCGACAGTTTCTATGCAAATCAATTTGTATTTTCTAAAACCATGTTTCCTTTTTTATAATTCTAGAGCCATGACACACCTCATACTGCTTGTTTAGAGATAACAGCCGCTTTTTAGGCAAACTTGTTTGAATTAAAAAACAGGTTGAGATTACTCTTAATCACCATTACTACATTTTTTCACTAATTTTAAGAAAATAAGGTCTTTAGGATTAGTTTCTAGCCAGAATTTTCTATATAAGATTGGGGCTTTTGCAGAGTGAACTCCAGTACATATGTACTTTATGAACAGTACATAAAGTAGTTTAAACTAGCTCCACTTCCACCAGCTACAGTAAAATGCTGAATATACATGGATGCATCAGTATTAACACTCTTATAATATAATCTACATACTGTATGAATTCTACAGTACTTATAACAGGCTACTTCTTAATTTTTTACGTGAGTAAGATTTTAAATGCACTGCATGGCTGACTTCCAACATGCTGGAAGTCCAATTACAGGGAGCCTGCAGCACTGTAGTTATCAGTGTAACGGGTGGGTGGGTCCTCTGCACACAGATGTTGCTAGCTCCCATTATTATCTGTTAATACTACAGTTTAAATCTTTAGAGGCGTGGGTATTTGCGGAGCAATAAACCACTGTCCCCAGCTTCTTTGCAACATCCTAGGTTAATCATAAATAATGCATTTGATAAATCGGTGTGTGTTCTTTCTCTTTTTATTTGGCCTACGCGTTATTCAAACACATCAGGAAAAATGGGGTAACTGTGGCTTACCGTCTAAATTTTCTCTGTCGCTGATGTGCTGGAGGTTGCAGCCCGTGTCCTCCCGGCTCAGCTCCGGCTCGGGCCGGTAGGGCTCGAGCCTGGAGTGGTTGCTCCTTCGGTGTTTAGGGCTCGCGGACACGCAGCAGGAGGTTGTATTCCCCATGGTGTAAGCAGGTTTTGCTTATAGTCCAAAACGCTGTATCTTCAGTCTCCTGGTCGCGCAGTTCGCGTTACTACATGGGAGAAAAGTAAAACGCTGCGAGAAAACGGGGCGGTAACGCGGATAGTCAGACCTGGTGCAAACTACAAACCCCACTGTCCCTTGGCGTTACACACCCTTCCCCCGAGTCTAAAATAAACGTAGCCGGACAAGTGTAGTCATTTAAAAGGCTGTTAAAACGCCAAGGTAGGGTAATAAGGAAGACGAGTAACCCAACGTCACCTTTCAAAGCGTCCAGGAGAGGGCAGATAATGCCTCTACGCTACAGGCTTCGGTTTCACACTCGACTCCTCGCCTTGAAATTTCTGTCCAGTTATCTTCACATACACATTTTAGCACTCTGCTACTTTACAGCGACATAAATACGTAGGAGGGCATGATACTTCAGCTAGTCGGGTGTATAATATTTTTGCTCGCAGAGCTACATAGTTGCCGATGTACCGTAGCCTGCTGCTTCTGCTACATCCGCTGCCGTGTCGCTTCCAGGTGCCGCTCGTAAAATCGGAATTTCGAGTTCAGCGTTAAGAAATAGCTTCGCACTTTTAGATAGTCTACATTCTAGTTGTTCACCCACGAAAGGCCGAAAGAAAACAGTTATTATAACAATAATCGTGTTTTGAGATAAAAAATTATGAAACACAGCTTTTGAGGTAATGCGTCTGTACCATGGAGCATTGTTTGTTCTCTTTGTGTTGTTTTTAAAAACAATTTGCAAAGAAAAACGTAACGTTACTCACTCACTGTGTATTGCAGCTGTTGTTTTTTATATTGTCTTTTCTCCACATTGTGGTAGAAAGGTCGTACATGTATGCATGTAGAAATTACAATATTTTGTGAGCACGTAAACATATTTGGCTGTGATGAAAAAAGTTCCGGTTCAAGTAGGTGGTTACGACTGTAATAAATGGACAATTATGACAGTCTCTTTGGGGATAAAAATAAATAAGACAAATAGAATAGAAAAATACGATCTCAAGGGTTCAGGTGGGTTCCTGGAGTCTGTCAATGGTTTGTTCAATTTACACTCTACAGTTTGTATAATAACAGTAAGGTTGTTCAGAAGTGTTTTCTTACTTTAACAGGTGGGTGAAGGCAACTGCTGTATGTCCCTGGACCCAAACATCTTTCATCCCCTTTATTTGTGTGTGCAAATTAATTATTAGATTTTTGACGGATGACAAATGCGTAAGGGCTTTGTTTTCGTGACAGAGTGAAATGGCTGCTCATACTAAATCTCTCTGCGGGATTAAGTGGGATTAGTTGAGGTTAAGGTAAACAAAGTGTCGTCCCGAGGGATCTACTAATCCTTGACATGCGGGACATTACACGTTGATGCCCCAGACTGTCGCTCATGATGATGGAGATTGAAGACTGAATGAGAAAAGATAGGCTTTTTTGCGTGATTACACTGGTTGACATGATCCGGCATGGTGCTGTAGTGCACCCTGCTGGAACAGCAGCTGCACTGCAATTAATGATGGTTGTCTATATAGCAGAAATTATTCATCTGCTTTCAATGGTGTATTATGACTACACTCAGACAGTTTTAGTTTTCTCTACTTGTGCATTCCACACTGTGGTTTTCTCTCTATCAGGGTGGAAGTTGTGTTTTGGTATCGACTGGACAGGAATATGGTTTCACAAAAGGACCCAGGTGCAGTGCAGGTTTCAATGGTATTGTATTCTTTCCTCAGTTTTGTTACCACTTACCACAGAGCAGGAACCACAAAGTAGTGAAGATTTAGCACCAAAAACATCTTTAATTGAGGTGTTACATGATAAAGAAAAGCTAAATTCCAATACCATTGTTAATCAGCTTTCTAAATACAAAATCCAGATGCAAGTCTTTTCCATTTTCCTTTAATGGTCATTACTGTCATATTAGGATTTATTTTGGTCCCTACTATTAGTTGGTTGATATCTGCCTAAACTACACACTTTGACTTTTACTGCAACACATTCTTGAGTATTAAATTATTTATTTATTTAGTATTTTAAATCAGAGAATGGCATCTCTGAAAACAGGGCCAATCCTTTCCTTCCCCTTAGTACATCCACATTCCTCTGGTGTGACCTACAGAAAATGTGTTTTAAAATGCTCATCCTACATCCCCTTCTTCCAGCATGCACTGCGTGATGACAGTGTGACTTGTCACAATATGATATGTTAAAGAGGAGAAATTGTTTTTCTCCACTGTGACAGTCATAGCAATCACGGCAGGTCATCATTTAAAGGACAGCACATCGTGTTCTGAACAGGAACCCAAAGCCGAGACTCAGCATGGCGATAAAAGCTTTATCAGACGCTCATAATGGTACTTGTGTGTTAGTGATTAATTCTGCATTAAAGTATATCTGATATATTTCTTCTCTTTTCCTCTCAAGCATGAGCTAAGAACAAATGAACTCACTTGTTACAACTTGCTTTACAAATGCTAGGGGCTTTTTTCTGTCTGGCCCCTGATTAACAATGAACACTGTGTCATAGTGAATAGAAGGCCTACACTTAGTAGGCCTTCTATTCACTATGTGTGAAAACAACACAGAGATCCTGAGAAAGAACTTTTATTGAAGCGAATACATTTTTTAAAGATGTGTCAATAAGGTCTTTAAATAAGGTGTGATCACAGCAAGACAACGGTGTTACAGAGGAGAAATCATCACCAACAGAGGAGTCTACTAAAAATCTGGATGTCTGCATCAAATGCCTAAATAACCGCATCAAAATGATACTTACAACAGCTTCTAAATTCAGCCATACATACTGAGATGAAGCAAAAAAAAAAAAACCTGTAGGTAAAACAGTAAATTCATGCATTTTCCACAAAGGTGTGTAATTTTTTAAAAGTAAATATACACTCAGTAATATGAAGATAAACACTTTCCCACCCTTTACAAAAATAAAAAATAAAAATGATGCACTGCAGTGTAAACTTGCCCAAATAAATGTAAACACCACATGTTAAAAGCAGTTAAGTCCTCACACAGAGGCTCAATCGATCCTGATAGGTCTCTACATTAAACACAAATGAAAGCGGGCGATAAATGCAGTGGGTGTTAATCCCAGATAGTGAGCTTGCATCAGGATTTATGAGGCGGAATCGAATACAACACAAACATTGCAAGATGAAGCCCTGACTGACACCATCACATAGACTTTCAACTCATACAGTATTTTAAGCCAAATTATGAAACTGATCATAAAGGAATGTATAATGCAGTGGCGCTAAGGTGATAACAGCGAAGGCGTTTGTGGCTGATCTTGGCAGGGAATTTGGATGTTCGGGTTGCACAAGAGCTGCATCTGGGTCTTCAGCATCCGATTCTCCGTCTCCAGTAAGGCATTGCGAGTTTGCAGGTGGATCATATATTCGGTTCTTCTCTTCCTGCTTGCTTTGGCAGCCTCCCTGTTCAAAGGGACATAAGCTCTGCGTAATACTCACTGATAATAAGCCTGACCTGAAACAGGGTTCTTGTTTTTTTCACTGGTGGCGGTGCATGGATAATTCAGAGCCAGAAACATTGACATCATCGTGTAAACACATTTAACAGCGAGGACAAGGAGTTTCTTGTGTGAGTATGTGTCTATTTGTGTGTCTGTACAAGCAAAACCAGAGTCCTCAAGACACCCCACAGAAGGACACCAAAACAGTCCACACAATCCCGGGTTCTTCCTCTCGCCAGAGGAATCACTCGGCTTTGTGACGATATATGTCTTTTAAGGCTCTAAGCTCCTCAATCAGAGTCTTGTTTTGATTTTCGAGCACAGCCACGCGATTTTCGAGGCATTTGACATATTCCTTCTTCTTGCGTCGACACTCCCGGGCGGCTTCCCTGGAAGCAACAACAACAGTTACCGTGATAAAGAAGCCTTAACCGTCTTGGCGTTTCTCCCAGATACAACAGACAACTCGTTCTAGCCATAAATCAGTTCACATCAAGGGGAAAAAGAAGGCTCACATTACAAAAATTACAATTCCATCTATGATTGATGGTAGTAAAAAAATCATAACTTGGGAGGACAGGGAAGATGCAAACAAGGAAAGTGGGAATCAGTGCCAATAGTGACTCACGGTTGTTTACAGCAAACACACAGAAAGCCCAGAGCCTTCTAAAGAGAGCAAGCAAAGAGCACGCTAAAAGCAGAAGGTAATTAATTTTCCTCACCAGCAAACCAGACTTATTTACATTAACCTAACTTACATACAAAGACAAGGTCTAACAGTTGGTCATTTCAGCCAACTCACTCTTCACCCCAAATATAGATTACAGAGCTGATCATGGGGAAACAGACAACATAAGAATTAGCAGTTAAACACACTGGATGGAGGAGATTCTCGCGGTGGAATGATGATAGGCTTGTGGATCTTATTATTACATGTGTTTATTGTCATCCATTGTCACTGGCTATTTGCTGGGTGTTTGTGTGTGACACAGCAGAGAACTTCCAACGGTATGCAGTGAATGTGTCTAACAGAGCCAGACGGATGATGTTTAAGGCCAATACTGATATGAGAATTTGAGAATTCCAACAGTATATTGACCAATATTAGCTTTTTAATATAGACTTACTTAATAAAAAATAAAAAAATTAACTCATCAGTGCTGTCTAACTTATATCTAACTTTACCATTCTTAAACTTGATATAAGCTTCAGAGGTGCATACAGTAGGCGCATACTCCAGTGTATCCAGTCTTTATGCTAAGCTAAGCTAATCAGCTGCTGGCTGAAGCTTCATATTAAGTGCACAGACATGTGAGTGGTATCAATCTTATCATCTAACTCTCAGCAAGAAATCATTTCCCAAAATGTGGAACTAGTGCTTTAAAATATATCAGCCCTATCTTTGGAATTCTGTACTACAGTTTCATTGAGCCACCATATACACTGTGTGCACAATTATTAGGCAAATTGTATTTTACAAATTTTTTTCGTTGAACAAACACAATGCTTTCAGTCAATCCAAAATATAATTGAACCTCAAACCTGAATGTTTAACTAAAGAAAAGTGAGTTGTGTCTTGCTCAGGAGAATACATAAATGTGCAGAATTATTAGGTAACTAAATTACTAAAATAATTTATATCAAATTACTTGTTTATTCTCAATCTTTAGAGTAAGTGAAACAACAAGTGACAATTAAATACAAATTGTGGCTTTTCAAAAAAAACTAATATGGCTGCCCTTCTTTTCAATAACTGCCATGAGCCTTCCATACATGTTTCTTGATCTGTTTACTATTAACAGCAACCACAGCCTCCCAAATGCTGTTCAAAGAGCTGCATTGTGTTCCCTGACTGTGAATCTCACATTTGAGAATGTCCAACAAGTTCTCAAGAGGAATCGAGTCTGGTGAGGAAAGGGGCCAGGTCCTTATTCAGGAATCTTTAAAGCCCCTGCTGGCAGGCCAAGCAGTGCAGTACTTGGATGCATGTGATGGTTCATTGTCCTGCATAAAGATTATGGCCTTCTTGAATCCTGAGGGCTTCTTCCTGTACCATTGCTTGAAGAAAGTATCTTCCAGAAACTGGCAGTAGGTTTGGGGGTTGAGTTTCAGTCCATCTTCAACCTGAAAATTGGTCCAACTATCTCATCCTTAATGATGGCTGCAGCCCATACCAGTACCAGTTAAATCTCTTTTTGGGCCCATTTTACCTGAGGTAGTGAAGGTGCCTAATAATCATGCACACCTTGATATAAGGAGTGAAACACTTTCACTACACCATCCCTCTAAAAATGATTAACCCCGAAAAGCATTCAAGTTTATATGGTTTGGAGATGGAAAATGTGCATATAAATAATTATTCATTCAGAATAATTACTTGCCTAATAAGTGTGCACGCAGTTTACGCTGATACCAATGTATCTAATATAGCTAATATCAGCTGATTATATTGATATGGTTGTTTTATCGTAATGTCCAAGCTAATGAGTGCGGTTGGTACTCTTTACCTGTTCTTCATCAAGCGGTGCTCCCTCTTTTGTAAGGCATCCTCTATAGGTTTGTGGGAGCTGTGAGCGCTGGCCTCTGCCACCCCCTGTGGTAGGCTGGAGCTGGGGTTACGCAGCTGGCAGGCAGTCATGTCACCTGCAGTGCCTGGGGAGACACAAAACAACATGTCAGTAAAGAGGATTGTGTTGCATGAAGAAGCTTGTGTGTTAATTCCTTCCAAAAGTTCTCAGTGATTTACTAAACTGGGATGCACCAATACAACTTAAGAAATGTCTTAGTTTGAAAAGACAATGTGCAAATTGCTGTACCACTGTCACTAGAACATCACAAGCTGTAACATCACTGCAAAAAAACTTTTCAAGGGACCAAGTGATATATTACAGATAAATGACTAATCTTTTTAAATCCAAGTATTGCTTTGATTTCTTTCTGCACCATAGATAAATATGAGTTAGTAGTACTTTTGGAGTTTAGAATGAATGGTAAATATCTGATAATGCTAGCCTAACTGGTGCTAGCTTTGGCATTTGTGGTCATCAGTTAAAGTTATCATATATTATAATACAGTATATTGGTAAGTATAAAAGGAAATTGTGTTATTTTTATAAAATGTCATTTTAAATCTTCCCAGTTTAAACAATTATTAAACAGAATTTTAACAAAGTGTCAGGTCAGATATGTTGTCAACATCTCAGTATGTGTCATGTATTAGCATGCTAATGTCACACCGAATGCACACTGGGTGTAAATATTAGAAACAACTAATCTCTATATAAGAACTAGCTTGTCTGATGCAACCTTTAAATTTAGATTTAATTAAATTAGTAATAGTAATGGGTTATTCTTCACTTAATAAACACTTTGTCACTCATTTAAGTTTGAATTTATGAAGATCTGGTGCAACAGCTCCACGTCAGTCAGCATCCTTTAACTCTTTAATCTTTTCCCATATGACTCTCACAAACCAGAAGTTTTCAAAATTTGAAGAACGGTTTTATTTATCACATGCTCATTCAGTGTGTGCTGTGAAATGCAGGATAGCATATCAGGCTGTGCTAAATAGATAAAAATAAATAGATATAATTAGAGAGCATAAGTGACCACATTACATTCTCTCTTCTTTTATCTTATCAAATGGGTGTATGTGACACTGTAAAAGCAAGAAATACACATTGAGAGATGGTGCCATTTGTTATCTACTTCTCCCTTCTGTTCATTGTTTCAGTGCCAGTAGAAGTCTCTGCTCCTCATATCATGTAACACACTGATGATTAATTCTGTGATATGTGTGAGTTGCAAAGAGAACAGCATATAATCACAGCGTGGCCGGCAGCTGACGTCAATGCACATCTTATTTGCCGGTTTGCATTTACATGACGCTGCTGGGGGCCAGTTCCAGGAAAAGCAGCGACGTCAGCTACTGCCGCTATGTGCTCTGAGTGGGCAGAACATTGAAGCATTTCACAGAGAGAGGGAGGGAGGGGTGGGAGGGGGGACTGAGAGAAAGAGAGAGAGAGGGTATGACTGAAGAGACAAGCAGACCCTGGGAAAACGTTTCTAATCAGAATAAGCTTGTTGCTGCTGACTGTCGAAAATGAGATTTCAACAGTTCTTTGCTACTTTTTTTGAGGAACTTAGTTGAGATGTTATTTGAGGGAATTACTGAGTCCTCTTATAATGGTTTGGGGAAACCTCACAGACAAACATAAACAAATATGTAATGCCTAAAAATAATCAGGATTTCTTTTCATTCCCAATTCTGACTACTAATGTCAACAATCAACATGGGAAAATTCACAATCATACCTATATTTTGCAGAAATTCCTAAGTGAGTATTTCAACTGAAAAACAATATTGAAAAG